GCTCAGTGTTTACTTTTTATGATTAACTATAGTTAACAACAACCTAGGATTAAGTCCCGTTCGGCTCAGTGTTTACTTCTTATGATTCATTATAGTTAACAACAACCTAGTATTAAGTCCCGTTCGGCTCAGTGTTTACTTCTTATGATCATCTAGAGTTAACAACAACCTAGAATTAAGTCCCGTTCGGCTCAGTGTTTACTTCTTATGATTATCTAGAGTTAACAGCAACCTAGGATTAAGTCCCGTTCGGCTCAGTGTTTACTTCTTATGATTAACTATAGTTAACAACAACCTAGGATTAAGTCTTGCTGAACTCAAAGTTTAGTGTTTCAGATATGCTAGAGTTAAGTTCCTCTCGGCACAGATTTTATTTTATCCTAGTAGGTAGAATACTCTCCTGGTTAACAATAACCCTAGGTTTCAGTTTCTCACTTATTCTGTTTTACAAAACGTTACTCTTCCCGGATCATTTCGTAAAACATATGACTTATTCTGAAAGTGGGGCATAAAAACGTCTTATCTTATCTGCAAAGTTTTGTTCTCAGCAGATGTTAAACTATTTAAAAGAACTTACATAGTTTCTAACTATAATTAATTTAGAAACCACGAACTTTACTAAACGAACATGCAAGAGACCGTGATCGCTGCGACCTTTTCCTACCGATAGATAACAGTTCGAATTAGCACAAACGTTAAAATGTATCGATAATAAACATTACAAAACTTTCTTACGGACAGATAACAGTTCAAATTAGCACAAGCGCTAAAATGTATTCATGTGTTTATTCTTTGTTTGTAGTTAAGCACAAAGTCACACAATGTACTATCTGTTTTATTCCAACTATGGGTATCCAAACTCGGATTTTAGCGTTATAAGTATTCAGACTTACGGCTTAGCCACTAGGGGACAAAAACGTATCACAAGTAGATATTGCTAACATTTTTTTTACTGACAGTTCAATTTAACATAAGGGTTAAAATGTATGATGAATAAATGTTCACTTCATTTAACACAACAGACTCCAAAATAAATGTTTCTATGCAAGTTTTTCTGGAATGTTCTTTCTGTAATGTGTATTTATACTTCCATCTCTATTATTTTAAATAACAAAGAGTATCCAATAGCAACAAGTATTCTACGTCCGGTAACGCTAAGACTGAAACAAACTTATCTCTCCTTACGTCCACTTTAATCCCTTTCAATGGAAAGAATTGCCAAGGTGGGTTGTCTCTGGGCACAAACCGGAAAAACTCCATGTCGTCACGGTACCATTTAATCGAGTAGAGGTTATCTCCCTCCAGGTCGTATGCGCATGTCAGCTCCACTGCTTCACCCGACTGCACGGTCTGTGGAACAACGAGTTTCAAGATCCGCAGTGTGTTAACAGCTGTAAAATAGCAATAAATAAATCAGTTTTCAATTAACATAAGCAAGACGGGTCGTTAAGTAAAGAGGGGAGAAGCAACTTATGCTATGTAACAATTATCATTAACCTTTGATCTAAGTGACCTATCTACACAGATCAGAACAAAAAGTCAACCCAGCGCTGAATGTACATTAATTAAAACGATCGGAATACATTGATTCATCACTTGGGTACCCTACCGGTTAGCGAGATTTTCGGCCATAATCCCAATAATATTTCAACACCTAATATATTAACATGTCATTGCGATTAAGTGATTCAGAGAAAATATACTAATAGGGTATATAAAGAAAGTTAAATTTTTATGTAATACTTAAAAATTGTGAGTCCTCATGACCAGAGTCTTATATATATATATTAGCCTAATATAAACTGTATTTGTATTAAAACACTTAGTTATAACAGTTAAGATATATATATATATACGAATTTAAACAAAATGCGGATGTAAATATATTTTAGTAGACATTTTGTACAACATATTAAAAGTCACAGAACAACAGTATGTATATATTTATTGACAGTATTAAGTACGGTAAAGTTTAGCCCTAACTAAACTAAGCAAAAAGTGTACACAAGTTACAGTGTTAACTTATCTATTTATCGAATATAGGCCGTACTTAATAAAGGCTTAACTAATGTTAGGCCTACAATTAGAATTTTTTTGTGTTATTCTAGAAATCCCGTATTTAAAGAAGTACTGTTGCAATTAAGATACTAATTTGACTAAAAATGTTTTGTGGGTCTCTGCTGGTACTTTAATATACTAATGTTTTGTGGGTCTCTGCTGGTACTTGTGGGTCTCTTCTGGTACTTGTGGATCTCTGCTGGTACTTTATATACTAATGTTTTGTGGGTCTCTGCTGGTACTTTAATATACTAATGTTTTGTGGGTCTCTGCTGGTACTTTAATATACTAATGTTTTGTGGGTCTCTGCTGGTACTTTGATATACTAATGTTTCGACTTACTTCTTCCTCAGAGTACTACGTAATACAAAACATTAGTACAACTGATAAAAGATAGGGATTGTGTGTATTTCGTTATCCTACAACAAAGGATCGTTGTGGATTTCCACTTGTTTTATAGAACACGATGCAAATTCTAGATTTTCTACACGTTCAGCATGAGACTTTATAGCCATTTTGTAGCTTCTAGAAGGATTCTACAAGTAATATCTTTTAGTAACATATTTATTAATAACATCCGAGTAATATCTTTATTAGTAACATCCAAGTAACATTCTTTATTAGTAACATCCAAGTAACATTCTTTATTAGTATCATCCTTATAACATATTTATTAATAACATCCAAATATCATCTTTATTAGTAACATCCAAATAATATATTTATTAGTAACATCTAAGTAACATTCTTTCTTAGTAACATCTAAGTAACATTCTTTATTAATATATATTTGGCATGAGTTCTTAATGAAAGCTGCGTCGCTTTTATAGATATATAAAATAAAATGGTTTCTACATAACGTCTAGCAACTACGTGTTAGGAGCTTATAGTAGTTGTTAGTTCTGCGGTATCCACCTTACTGTAATTTGATGAAAGGGGGTTTCTACTCTCGAAACAATGTGTTTTCTGTTGTTAATGGCACATTTATTGAAGAGGCGGGGAAAATAAATTCGATTTTCTGCTCAAATACCAATTTAAACTCGGAAGAATGGAGCAGTGAAAGGCTTTTTTTAAAACACGGTCTATGCAAAAATTCAAATTCGGAGTATAAAAATATATTAGATTAATGGAAATGCAAAAATAATCTTTCTGCATTCTTACAAGAATCGAGGTAAATCTTATTGTTTTCGAGACGGCTCCGGATGTAAATAATCTTAACAGGATATATATTATAAGAAGATTACCTGAAAAGTACATGTGATATCGTATGGTACAAATTCTGGTAGAACATGAATACATATATATTTAATACGTCCTTTCCTTCCCATTATATTTCTTCTTATTTATTACAGTTCTCATTTCATCTTCTCATTTTTCTCCTTAAATTATACCTACTTGTTTTCTATCACTAGTAACAAACCAAGATTTCTCGCTAACAAATAAATGCCAATTAAATAAAAGTGTAAGATATCCTTATAGAATAAGGCTTAGCTAAGCCTAATTAAGTGAAATATTTTGTTAAGCCTAAGACTCACTACCTTGCATAATTTTAATTTTTTTGAAACTTTAAGATATATAAGTATTAAGAGTACTTACGCACTTCAAAACGTACTTCACAAAATCCTCGACCATAAAGTAAACTTTATCTTTAAGGTTTTTCTTTGTTGTCACGATCAAAGAATCAAGTATAGCTGTGAAACAGCTAACAGCGATTGGTTTAGTTCATATAATATATAACAACTCTGACTAGTAGTTTGTGTAGTATTTCATCACTCAAGGACTTATATACTTGTACCATATATTTCTTTACGAACTTTATACAGTTTTCCAGTTAGTGTTATCTGTCTTATTGTGATGTCATACAAACTAGCGATTTTAAAATCAGGCTTTGCCAGCAAAATCGTTATATACTTTATAAAAAGATTGATCGCTGTTAAGCAAGTAGCTTTAACTTGTAAAGATATAAGGGGCAACATAACGTTTGTTTTTAATTTTATTGTGATAACGTATTGAGCTGCGGGTTCGTAAAAATCTGAGGTTCGAGCCTGCGATGTGTCAATGAACATGCTCCGCACTGCCAGCTATTACTTTATAAAATTACAGTCAGTCATGCTATCCGCTTAAGTCTAGCGAATGACATAGAAGACGGGCGCTGCTGACTGGTTGCTAGCCCTCTGGTCACAGTTTATCTATTAGGATCTTTAGCCTTGTCTTCCATAAGATGGCGCTCAGGTTGAAAATACCAAACATTTAATATGATGATTTATTAACGAAACAACGTGTATTACCATTACAAGAGCCTGTAATTTCTACTAAACAAATGATTGATGTCTCCAGACAGAAATGATATACATAAATTGTTGGGAAAAAACTTCTGTATGTTATTTAATAGAGTAATTACCATTAATCTAAATTATGCACACCGCTGTTTATAAGTTCTTCTTCGTTACTTTATCTTGTACGAGAATCAAGCTGAGTAATAATCGATCCATTTTTACATTTAGCCCAAGACGTTCTATTTGACGCTCGTATTTTCATTATTTTCCAACAAACACAGCTCTCTGAAACTGTTATTAGAAAGATTAAATAACGCGTGAATTCTGAAAAGTATTTTATTTAAAGCAACAAACTATTGGTTTTGTATATTTAACATACCTTTATTTGTTTCGTTGGTTGATTTCTTTCTATTACAGTTATTAGATTATCTTATGATCCTGAAAAAAAACAGCTAATTAAATAGCGTTCGTATCTGTGTTTTTCTCATAGTTAATATAATAAAATAATCATTATTATAGCTATAATTTCATATATTTTCCTGGACAACGTTACACTAGAAGCTCCATAGAGTTTATAGGTGTGATAAGACAAAATGAGAAGAGTGACAATTTACCATCAGGCTATTTTTTTCCGGTTCTCTATACTTACTGGCTCTGCACCTACTATCTCCAGTACAAAATGTATTATTTTTCTTTCCGAACGTTACAGTCTCCACATCTGAACCTCTCTCAAGTAAAAACTAGAACTTGGTGAAAGAACGTAACTCGTTTAATATTAGGACTAACATTTTTCCATTTTACAAGATGATGTTATTACTGTGTAACGTTTTGTTTTTATATAAAGTTTCTGTTATCGTAAAATTGTTTTCTTACTTTCTTCGTTAACGTATTTTGTACGGTATACAATTTAACTACGAACATACGGTTTTAAAATACTGGTTTCAGTCGAGTAAGTTTTTATGCTGAAGGTTGTTTCTTGTGAAGGTCCACCTTACAGCGATCAAACAACTTTACAGGGTCCTTGTTCGTTACGTATTAAGAACGTTTACAATAGTGGTTTATTAATTACCTCCTAATTGATTCATTGTCTATACACTTCACCAAGAACGAAACAATGAGTATAATATGGAGCGTTCTTTCTCGTAGCTCAGAGATAAACCAGTGGGCTTATAACGCTAAAAATCGGGTATAGATACTCACGACTTTCAATGCGCAGATAGTTCATAGTGTAGCTTTGCAACAGACATAATTTTCTATTAAACCGTTATTGATAAACGTCATAGAACGATATTACAGGTATTTAAGTAGTGTTATGTCTGCTGGATCAGAACAAAATGAATTGTTTGAGGCTTGGTAATACTTCACAGAAAGCTTAAGCTCCGCACATAGCACGTATTAATTGTCTCATGGGGTTTGTCATTAACACAACCTGAAATATAAATGAGCAGAAAAATACCAAACAGTTAAACAGGTATATTTAATTCAGGGTAAGATAGCTAATATGTCGTACTTTGGAGACTGATCATTACACTGAGTTCATAAAACATTAATAATCACAGTGTTAAATAAGACTGTAAACCACTTACAGAAAGAACACACTGTGATGTCACAATTACTTTTAAACTAATAAGTATGATCCGGGATCGAACCCATTACCTCTCTTTTCTTAAGTTGAAGCAAGAAAGCCTGCTGTATTTGTTTTGGTTTCTGTTAAGCGCAAAGCCAAAGAATGGGCTATCTGTGCTGTGCCTATTACGGGTATCGAAACTTGATTTTTAGAGATATAAGCCTTCAGAATTTCCACTGAGACACTGGGGGGGGGGGTCTGCTGTTGTGCTAGTTTTTCATTAACACTTTTGTGCGTTAATGTTATTTAATTATCTTTTATTGATATATTTAATGGAAGAGCTTCATTTCATCTACCGAACTACAAAATTTCTTTTTTCATTGGGCTGGTTTGGTGAGTCGTTAAATCAGGAGACGTAAGCGTGAGAGGTTATTCAACTGCACGAGCCGCACGAGAATTTTATGTTCAACATGAAACACAACAGAAACCG